CATAATCCAGAGAGGAATGTTGACACAACTCAAGGCAAGAGCACTGTACTGTTCAAAAGTGGATCAGGTGTCCTTAATTAGAAAAAGTTCACCCTTGATAAGGGGAAGTGTATTTGAACAACCCCTTGTCGCAAGATCCGATGTACAAGGCTTACAAATGCAGACTTGTATTATTCCCACTCCTTAACCCTCTATGTCCTTCCCCATTAGGGAACACGGGCCTAGCGGCACCAAGGGACACAGAGAAGAGAGTGCTCATCAGATTAGATCAGTAAATACGGACAGCCTAGAGATCAGTTTTACAAGCAATGAGTTCAATAGATACAAGGCTTGCCAACCCAGAGCAGCTGGGTCAAAAGTGGGCATCAAGCTTCCACCACACAGTTCTGTTTCAGCTCTGGTTTGTACTGAAGGTAAGGAAGGGCTTGAGCATCAACTTGAGCACCAACTAAGAAGCAGCTACTCTGCTGCCTCCAGTTCAACTTCGTTTTGTGAGCATGTACAAACCATGAGATTTCTCAGCAAGATATTTGTAGTTCCTGCAGGCAAGGTACAGGCTCCTCAGAGACAGGTACCTTATTTCAGGAAGCAGCTGCTCCCTTCCTGGATTTTTAAACCACAGCTCAACAAACATCCATCCAAAAGCTGATGAGTAATAGGGTTATACAGGGAATGCTCTAACAGACTTTTTCCATACAGCGCTGGTATTTCCAAGTACTAGGCTTCTCCCCATCAGATGGACAGAGAACATCAGCCAGCTCACAGCTACCCTGACTCCAAAGGCATAGGGAGGCCTCCCCACTCATTTCCCAGTCAGCTCATCCATAAAAGCCAGCCCACACCAGGAAGGACAGAAAAGCTGGCTGAAGCTCTCAGCACTTCATATGGCCCAATACACGATGAGCTATCATGGCTCTGCTCCTCAAATTCCTGCGGCAGGGATAAGCAAAAGGGAAGAGAAAGACCCATTCTCAGACATTTCTAACCTCAGAAAACCAAGACTGTACTGGTGCCCAACATTCAGTCAATGTGTGAGATCAGTAATTACCACACGTGTTTGAAGCCATTCATTTTCCTGAGCTGTCTAGACTAGCAAAGCACTAGGGTGGAGAAAGACTGGAGAAAAAGGGAGTATGTTTAGCACTCTAACAACAGAAAAGGAGGGTTTTCGCCAGCAATAGCCATCCTACATAATTTGAGCCATCCAGAAGGAACTGAACTGTGGATGACAGGTGTCATCAGTGTCCTTATCCGTAGGGACAAATCAAACCCTCAGCTCACAAAATTATCAGCCTTTCAACAGAAAAGTTATCTGCTGTCGCTCTCCTCCACCTTTGTTTCCCTTTGTTGCTGCTTTCAAAAGTCTCGCCAGCATCCCCACCCAACCCCTTGCATTTTCCCAGGCTTGACCTCTCTGGTATCTACCCTGTTCCCTGATCTTTACCCATACATACCACTGTAAAGCATCCCCCCTGCATGGCAACCTTTCCCACCAGGAGCAGCAGAGCAGTCAGTGAGCTGAGACTTGGCACCACATTCACTGGGACTCCAACTTAATTTTTACCTCCCCCCCTCAAGCTCCTGAACTGATGCCAAAGGGAACACTCGTTTTGGCAGTCAAGTCTCCCAGAAGAAAAGTTACAGCCAAAGCGCTGGGGGTGGGACCAAGCCAGCCTATTAATAGGCTGATTATAATATGAATTTGGGGAACTACTCCCAAATATGCTTACCCTCCTGGACCTAGGGCCCTCAGGGGTGGAGTGGAATACCTAACTCAGCACTTTCAGCTTCTCTGTTGCATCTGGAGCCAGGGATGGTGGAAAATCCTGTCTGCAGCCTGCCTGGCAAAAACATGGTTTTCCAGAAGGGTGGCTGAGCTATTGTTTTCTTCTCTTCTCCCCTAGAAAGCCTGTTCTCATACTTACATAGCAGCCCCTTCTGCCTCATAAGAAAAGACCTGGAATTTGAAAGTTTCCGCCTTGGATTAAAGAGCTTGATATCAATAATTTTCCTGTGGAAAGTCCAGAGCTACTCCAAGAAGCAACACTGAACAAGATAAGATGTCTCCAGAGTCTTCTCACCACCAGCTTCTTTGAAACACACTGAACTGCTTAGGAAGACAAACTCTATGGACAGCCAGGGAGCAAAACTTCTAAGGTTTTTTTCTTCTAAGGAGAGCATGAAGAGGACAAAAGGCTGGGCTGAGGCAGCAAAGTTTTGATTTCAGGAGGCAGTCAGATTGCTATACCTGTTAAAGCATGCTTCTACCTTTTTAGGTGGCAGACCACAACCTAAGACCCCTTTAAAAGTGCTGGGATGAGGCAAGCATGCATGGTGGCAAATAGAAAGAGGCCAGAGGCAGCAACATGCAGTATATGCATATTCCATTGTAGCTACAATCACCTTCCCAGCACATCCACAAGGCTGCTTCTCCAGTCTTCCTGAATAATCCAAACTGCCCTTGATCAGACCTCTTGTTCCAGCCAGAGAAGCAACCAGAGGCTGAGGGCAGCACCCTGTCATCCGGGCTGTCATTTCACCAAGAAGCATACCAAAACCTTTACTGAGCCTTTACAAAATTATGCTGCAAAGATGTTCAAAAGTCCCCAAATTTCTCATGTTTTGCATAAACATCCCACAATTCTAAACCTTCAGAAGTTGAAAGAGATACCAACTGCATTCTCTTCTTACGGTGTTTATCACATGAGGACTAACACTCCGTCTCAAGACCAGCAGCTCTTACCATTTATACACAAATAACTCACCCTGTTGCTCACAGCACAAGGAAGAGAAATATGGAAAGAGAATGAACACTCCCGCAATTAGGAAACACTGATCAAACCTACACAGTTCCACCTTTTCATTAGCAAAGACGGACAGGCTTACAGACATGCTAATACACACTAATCTGTCAGAAACCAAGGAAAAAGCAGCACTAGTTTACCATTATTAGACACACTCGATGAGACTCTCCTGTAGCTCAAGCCACTGAAGCACATACATGCTGCATGGTTTGGATTCAACATGCCAAATGAAATTGCAACCAGCTTGCCAACAAATGAGGAGTTATTAATTTTTCATACATCTTGGATTTGTCCCTAGGCTTTACAACTCTCTGCTGCCCTCATACCACCCAAGGCATTCAAAACCTTGCTGCAAAGAGAGCATTGGATGGAATACTATTTCTAACACACGTGCTATTAAATATTTAGGTATTGATTCTCGAGGAAATTTTTTGCCTCTGATGGAAAGATTACTTATATTAAAGCCAGGCATGGAGACTTCAGCAGG